CAGGTACCGGCCTCCCCTGCACCCTCACCTGCCGGGCGGGCATTGCCGTGAGGCCGGGCCGTGCCCCAGGGCGCGGCCTTCAGAGGGACAGGGTTGACCTGGCCTACCGGGGCTGGGTGGCGGTGACACCGCTGGGCAGAAGGCAGCGGGGAATGCAGTCGGGTAGAGCGGAGTGGCGTGGGCCGTGTTTTTCGTATCGCTTTCCTTGCCGTCTTTCCCATCTTGGGGTGGTGTGAATGATCCGCGTGTGTGACCTGACCGTAATTTTGCACCCTGTGTCAGCAGAGCGGCGCTGCCTGTTGGGCATTGTTGCGGCTGCCCAAAGTACGGGCTGGGAGCAGTATTTGGGAATTCTTTCGAGTTTTTACGAAAAGATTTTAAACGGCTTTTAATGACAGCTCAGTTGTTTGTTCATTTATTTGCTTTAGTTCAAAACTCGATATTTTTGAACAAGCACCGATGCTGTGATGGCCTCGTGTAGAAAGCAGCTCGGGTTCTTTGGTAGCTGTGTTTGCTTTCCGAGGCCAAGCTCCCCAGCAGAAGGCAAACTGGATGTAGGTGAAATACGGGGATGCAAACTGCAACGCGCTGCTGGCTTGAAGTGCCTGAGGCTTTCACAGCTTTGCTGTGCTTTTCTGATGCTGTAGCCAAAGATCGGGTTGAGAAGGTTGGAGCTATTCAGCCTGGAGAAGAGAAGGCTGCACGGAGACCTCATAGCAAGCTTCCAGTGTCTGAAGGGGGCCTGCAGGGAAGCTGGGGAGGGACTCTTCGTCAGGAATATGGCTACAGATTACATCAGGAGTAATGAGTACGGACGAAAAGAGAGGAAATTTGTGTTCCCTATTACGAAGAAGAGCTTTTGCTTGAGGGTTGTGAGATGCTGGAACAGGTTGCTCAGGGAGGTTGTGGATACCCCAGCCCCGGGGGTGTTCAAGGCCTTGTGTGACCCAGTCTAGTGGGAGGCGTCCTTGCCTATGGCAGGGAGTGTTCGGGCTGGGTGATCTCTAAGGTCCCTTCCAGCCCTTTAACATTCTGTGATTCCATGATTTCTGAATGGTTACATAGTTTTAAGGGGCATGCAGCCTGAATTAATGAAAAAGGAGTTTGTCAAGGACTTGTGGAGCACAGTGCAGTGTAAAATAGCAGAGCTCCTACCATCTTCCCAGTAATGAGGTTCTGAAGCTTTCCTTAAATTTTCCTGCTGCTTCTCAGCATTGAAATTCAGGGTTTAATGCTGACAATATATCAAGTGCATAGTGACCAAAGTGTGATGCAGTGCCTGCTGAAACTGGCAGTTTTTCCTTTTTTAGCCAAAGAGAGTTGTGTGTGAGGAGGAGAGGTATTCCACAAGTCCTTCAGATTTATGGAAGTGTTTTAAGATCTATTTAAGTCTTTTATTTTGAATCAAAAGAAATATTTATTTTTTAATTTCTGTAACTTGTGGGTGATTTTTAAACAAAGTAAGTAGGTGTGAATGTAAAGGTTTAAACACTGCATTTTAGAATGTTGTAGAGAACAGCTCCTTGAATTTTATGGTAGTTTTTCTAGAGAATGCAGCTGTGTCTGTGCTGCAGAATCTCCCAAGCAGGTCCTCACTGTCCCTGGCTTCACATCCTCAGCTGCCTGTGTCAGTTTCAGCTTCCTTGCAGTGATGTGCTAAACTAAGCAGAAGATCTATAACCCAAATGACTTTCCTGTTTGTTACTGGATTAACTTGCAGCAGAATCCATGTTGCAGAGTAGGGGAATGTGACCTGTAGTAGTGCCACAAGTGTGAAGACATGTGAAGTTAAGTGTATGTGCACAGTTTTTCTTCAGATGGATGGGAGTGATCTCTTTATTGACTTATACTAAGAACTTCAGTGAGTTTTCTGTAGTACCAATGAATTGAAGCATCAGATAACAATAAATTCAAACTATCTCTGCTACCTAATGCAGAAATACTTTAAAAGTTCTAACTTCTTGCATTATTTCCTCCACAAATAAATGGTGTGTAAAGTTGTTTACTTCGTATTTGTGATGAGGAAACCAAAAGTAATCAGGAGTTTGAAATGGTGTTCCAGCCCTTTTCAAAAGTCAAAAGGCACATGTTTGACATGTACTTAACATATTCAGGTTGTACATAGTTGGGCTTAGACAGTTGTAACTATTATTCTGGGGTTTTTGGTAGGTTTACAAAATTCAGCCTTGGATCCTATTTTTAACTGCTGTTTCCTAACTTTGTATATCATCTAGCAAACAGGAACTCTTCAGCACAAGCAGCATGCTTTCTAAAGACAAAGATAAATCTGTTGCTTCCAAAGAGAGCACACCTGAAGGGGCAGCAAAGAGGCAGGAGGATGGAGCAGGAACACCAAAGCAGCAGCTGTTAGACATTATTGGTAATATGAAAGTGGAAGTGAGCTACAGGAAGAAACTCCAACAATTAAAAGCCAGTGAGAGCAAGAAGCAAGCCATGAACGAGCTGGAAGGCCTGGATAGTGAAGGTTCTGTGCCTCAGGGAATTACAGAAGACACCCAACGGTAAAGTATAACAAACTTTTCTTAGCCTCTTTTATCCTTACTTCAACTTTCTTTTTCATTGTTTAGGACAAAATAAACAATTTCCAACAGTGTAAAAGAATCTTGTAAGGGAGTGGGGTGCACAGTTGTACACTGGAGTAAATCACAGGGGAGAATCTGGGCAAAAGGTGCTGTATGCAGTTAACCATATGCTGCCTTTTTCTACAGTGAGGTTGTGGAAAGGTAGTGTTAGCCCTTGCCTGTGGAAATGCATTTTAATGTGAGATAGGAAATATTATTCAGATAAAATACAATGAAACTGAGGAAAAAGGGAAAAAAAATAATTAAGAATGGCATTATTATTGTTAAGTCTTTTGAGCTGCACCTGTCCACAATGTGTTACATCACTCTTGTCACCCCACAGGTCTGTGCTGTCGTTGATCTCCAAGTTGTGTGTCCAAGGGGCTGTGCAGTGGCACAGAGCTACCATTTCCCCAGGCTGGGGAACAAGAGCTTGTCAGAGTCCTTCAGCATTTGATAATTAGGTCAATATAGTGCAAACCTGCCTGTCTCATTGGCCATCCCCATTTGGGAAAATATCTGACTAGCTTCTGAGTTATTAAGATGTAAAATGGCAGTACAGAAATGAAAATTTTAATATATTAAAGGGTTTTTTTTTCTTTTTTACTGTTTCTGTATCTGTCATGTCTCTGTTTACAGAGGCAAGCCTTTAAATCCGGAACTGGTGAAGGCTGCTTCTGCAGTTGCATCTTCCCTTCCACACAACAAGAAGCAGACAGTATCAGAACTCCTTGCACAACTAAGAAGGCATGAAGAAACCACAGATAAACAGAAGAAGGGGGGAACTGTTAACATACGGTCTGTGTATTGATTGTTTTTCTCAATTATGTTAGAGATTTGGATTTTGCCATATCATCCTGAAGGTGACAGCCTTCTGTGTTGGAAAAATGACCCTGAAAGACACCTTTGAATGGCTTATCCTTAGGATTAATGAAGGTTAACATTATTGATCTGGTTATACCAAACTCTCTAAATTTTGCCATCATCTTTCTAAAGTGGTTTTGCAGAAACAGAATTGCTTTCATGCCCAGGATCATCGCTTTCTTGGACAGGCCAGCAAAATAACAGCTCTTCTTTTGAGTTTGTTTTTTTTTTTTTTTTCTCCACAAGCTTCCAAAATTCTCACACAATGGATGGATTTGTAGACGTTTCAGACGTTCTGTCTGGACTGGTGAATTTTCATGACAGCTCTGCAGAACTGAACTAGAGCAGCTCTGTTTATAGCCCCACCCTTCCTTTCAAAACTTTCCAGTCAACCCATGAAACTCATCTCTTGGCTTAACTCTGTTTCCAGTGTGGCTTTCAAACAGATGAGAAACATTTGTTTGGAAACTCAAACAGTTGTGCATACGACTCTTGGAGGATGGTTAAAGACAAATTTTTTTTCTACTTTTTTTTTTTCCAGCTAGTATTCAAGTAACTACTCAGAAAAAAAGGCATTAAATCCAGGTGAAATGCTGAACCAAACAGAAAATTTGATCTTTACCAAAATACGAGTGTGAAACCTTTCTTTATGTCTGTTTGCAGCACAAACTGCAAGCTGCTTACTTTAGTTTTATTCTGTGAAAATTAATTTACCCCAACTGAGGATCTAAGCTTGACCCATCTATTGTCATTTGTAGGTTACATGTATTTCTACTTGTAGGTATCCGTAAAAGGATCTGCTGGAATGATTATCAGTGTTCTGCAAACAGAACTGATGGTGTCTGTGGCTGATGTCTGCCTGAGTGGAAATTAAGGAAGAAAGAGATAGATGCTTGCAAATAGGTTGAGTTAGATGGTTGCACAGACTGGGGTGTAACGATGCCCAGTGAGTAACTTTGTTAAGCAAAATATCTGTTCTTCAGATATGAGGATTGTTTATATAGAGCATCATTAGACTGTTAATTACCATTGAGCTCACTCCCTCTTTGTAACCGGGTTCTTTAGAAGGTACGCTAATGTCTTAATAGTGCATGGGCTGTTGGTGACCAACTTAAACGCAGTTCAAACCTACTGGAGTACCTGAGATGTTGGAGGACCACAGAGATACTGAGTGAGCTAACACACACAGTGTCCAGCCTGGAATGTGCCAGTCTCCCTTCCTAGGGTGGACATGCTCTTGTCTAGGTGTGGTTTCTCTGCCTGTTGGCATCACAGGCTTTCTCTCTCGTCACCTATGGCACTTTCCCTGAAGCACTGACCCAGCTCTGGCTGCAGTGGAAGAAAGACGGTGACTAAGGAAGTCGTAGTCAAAGCAAAAATGTTTTTGTATTCTCTTGAAAGAGAGATGAAATTCTTCAGAAATTTAAAAGCTGCAGCTATATAGGGTCTCTGTATTTTTGATTGATGGGTTAAGATGTGATGTTACAATATTTTACCACATGCTCGTGGATGAAGCACTACCGTTAGAAAAACGCGTTTTCCTCAACCAGAACCAGCCTTTTTGGAATGTCATGGCTGGCTTGCTGTGCTCTGAGTTGGCAAGTTCTATTCCCTGAGGCAGCTTTGTGACCTAGCTTGTTACTCCCAGCAAATACCCTCCTCCTCCTGCCGCCATTTGCTGAAAATTCTTAGTTTTCTTCCTTAAGAGTTAGTTAACAGAAACTCTTTATCAGTGGGTGAGTTTTCCAGAAAGACCAGCAATTTGTGCTGATTGTCATGACAAAAAACTCGGTTATAGTAACCTTTTAGAGTTAGTACTGACCTCTTAGATCTTTGAGATAAATACAGTGTTTTCAGGTTTCTGATTAATGTTAAAAATGTTGATTTTTGCATGATTAATGCTCCATGATACCTCAATCCACACAATGCACAAAGATATTTTTAATATATTAGAAAGCATTCACTTCTGTTCTTGCATGATTATTTTGTGTTGAGTTTTATTTGACAGTAAGAGAATACATGCAATTTAACTTCCCCTTTTTTTCTGTAAAGGTTTTGCATTCAATATACAGACACATTTTAAAAGCCAATATATATTCCTCAGTTATTTACAGTATTTGAAAGCAAAATACTTTCACAAGCAATAGGGCCACATAGTTCTGAACTGCAAAAAACTGAATACTGCTGCTGTGATTTATACTACGCAGTGAGCTGTACGTTGTCCTGATCTTTTGTACAAATTTTTTTTTACCAGGATTGTGGCAAGACCTCCAGAGGTCACTGTTGTATGCAGTCATCTCACCGCCTCGTTGAAAGCACAGGGACAGGGCATTCACTAGGAGGGGAAAATATTAACGATACAGGAATTTATTTTGCTCAGTGGGGGCTGAATTTTCTCTCAGTGGAAATCACAACAGCACTGCACCAAAATAAAATCTGCAGCCCTACGATTTCAGCTCCTATTTTGGGTGAACAAGAAAAGTAATTCAGAGCTTTATCTAGAATATAACCAAAAGCTCCTTGGGTCTTTGTTTTAAGTATTATAATTATTGTCTGATAATCAGGAAAGAGAGAGAGAGTCTGTGGTTGTTACCAAAGTTCTACCACTTCCCATCTCTGGAAGGCAGGTGTATGTAGTAGCTTCAGTGTTTAATGTTGTGTTGGAACATGAGGTAATATATAAGGGCTAACCACTATGGGTATGGTGCGGTTGGAGTGTGACTTTTTAAACCAATATTTTTTGTTTCAAAAGGCATTAAAAAAAATCTTTTTAGTTCTGCTTTTATTAATACAGGTGCACTTTTCATGATTGAGTGATGATTGTTGCTGCCAGAAAGGTTCATATATCAATGGTGAGGTGACATTAGGATTTCCTAGCGAGGAGCTGATGCTGTTGACTGTGTGTTCCGATAGCTTGGTGTAGTGTACTCTTTCCACGTCTACAGGGCAAAGCTGCAAGTAAATCAGGGAAGAGAGCTGCTCTGAGCCATCCTGACTCCCCTGAAGCACAGGAACACTCCAGCCTTTTAGGTCACAGCTGAGTCAAGCTGTTGGGCTGGGCTGTGTGTGGCTGACCTTAGGAATTATGTCCCTTTGACCCTCGTAAGTGTGTCAAGCCTCTGGCCCAACACCAGCTCACTAATGCCAGTAGCCACTTCACAGAGTAATTTCTAATGTGAGATACGCAACTAATCTGAGATTGAAAAAATTTCATTTTAATTTTAAATAAAAAGCAAACTTGTTTTCAGATGCATTTATTTCAAAGTAGGTACTGGAAGAGCTGTGCTATTCTTGTTCTGCCATTTGAAACCACATCTAAGACTGAAGAGAAATCATGCTGTGTTTCTGTAGCAATTAGCTTTTACAATTTTCCAGAAGTATTTCTTTCTTGTCAGTAAAATCTCTTTTGACTTAAGCTGCCAAAAGCATAGTTTGAATTTCATTCAGATTTTCATAAAATGGATAGCACAGTATTTTTGACTTGGCCTATTTTTATTTTTTGAGACCATATTTATGTCTTAAAACTTGAGTGCTGCGATTTGGGATGACTGTGTGTGACTGGAAGCAGTTGGGTAGAGAGGAGGCTGTGAGGAAGAATTACTGGCTTGGCCTTTCCCAGCCGGTGGAGTTGCCAGTGAGGGGAGCTCATGGGCAGGGGCAGAAAGGGGCTGTGATCTGCCCTTTGTGATCAGAACGAGCTGCGTACAGTGCTGGAGGAGATCAGAGCCTTTCACGTACGATTTTCACTCCAGAATTATGAAGGAAGATGTGGTTTGTTAATGCTGTAATATGATTATGCAATGCAACAGATTGCAGTGGATCAGGAAAGGTGACCTACTTATTAGGGTGGCATGATTGGCCCATGTCAGCTGATGTGTGAAGGCAAGCCTCCTTTTGGTCTGCAGCAGGACAGCTCTGTCCCTGGGCAGTGTTGGTTCCTGTCCAAGAAAAATGGTGATTTTTACCTCCCTATTTCTTGTATCCAGAGAAATTCCCCATTTGCTTAAGCAAAACATGCCTAGTACGATAGGAATATTGGTATACGGATATATGATTTTTTTTTTAGTTGAAAGCTAAGTAATTTAAAAGGAAGCATTCACTGTAGATTTAATAGACTAAAGTAGCACTTTTCATACGTAGAATGTAGCAAATGGTTTAAAATAACAGCCTTGAATGTTTGATTGATGAAAGATGGGTGCATTTTGTGAGGAATATATAATTCTGTCTCATAGAAGCTTATGAAACCAAGTGAGAATAGAGTTTCTAGTTAATATATATGACAACCTTCCTTGCTTTGTCAATCTGTTGAGTTCTTACATTTCATGTTTCTCATTTCAGCAATGTTATTTCAGAAATGACAGTTAAAAGGCAGTCCTCAGCCCAGAGGGGTGCGAGAATATCCGGACGCTTTTCCTTGCAGTTGGATGAGGATGGTCAAAGAACAAGGCCTGCCAGATCATCAGCTCAGTCTGTGGACTCCAGAAGGTATTTTTACTGTGTTCACTTCCAATAGAAGGAGCATGCAGTTATTAGTGGATAATATTTTAAATTTGATTGTACATATTAATGTTGCAGTACTTCAGAGCTTAAAGAAATTACTTAAATGTTTTTCAAGAAGAGTACTGTTAGCATTGAAATAAATTGTGAGAACAAGGTAGTGGCAACCAGCTAATCAGATAATGTACATTTTTTTTAATATTACATTTTAGATAATTAAACATACTTCATGCTGAAATGTAATTGTGCTTGTTTTAAGTAGTTAAAATTATTTTCACCTATGCATGATACAGTTTTATGTCACTTTCTTAACTTCTTGGGAAATGGAGATTTTTGAGAGCTTGCTTTCCTCTTCTACAAAACTTGATAATGTTCTATGTTTAGAAAAGTTTTGTCCATTCTGTTGGGATTTTAAAGAGATATTAAAGTTTATCTGTCTGTCTGTCTATCTATCTATCTATTTATTTCCTCATGCTGTAATTGATTTCTTTATTATCTGTGGTGTTATAATTGTCTATGAAATTAACTTTATAATTTACATGTGATTTCAGGGTAGTCTTTATTTTGCTGCTGTATTATGTGGCTGCTCTATTTTTAGTGAATTAAGGAGCACTCTTACATTTTTGTTTTACTACTGTAAGCCATGCTTTTCTTATCTTTAGTCTTTGGATTTTCCCATGGTAGCTCATCATTGCATTCCTTGTCACTGTATTCTTTCCCTAGCAGTTTTTAGTACGATTAACTTCTCTTGTAATTAATTTATTTTGCAAATTAATCTCCATTTCTGGGGGTTAGGGCCTGAAAATTGAGGGAAATGTTTGTCTTCAGGTAGATCATGGTGAAGACAATTTGGGTAACAGAGGAAAAGAAAAGCATGAGTACAGTATTCGTGTGTGATGAAACTGTGCTTGGTATATAACTTCTGAAATAGCACCCTAAAATAGTTTTTAAAATCCCGGTAGTGAGTAAGCTCTGTCCAGTTTCAGGCCTAAGTTCCCTCCTGCATACCTGAAAATCTTATGGATTTGCTTATCAACTGATAGTAGGAAAAGAACGGGTTAGGAAGAATACCTAAATTTAAGTCAAGTTAGTACATTGCAATGAAATGAGTGATGTTGCTTTATAGTAATTTAAGCTTGTAGTTCTAAAATAAATGTTCTTCCAAGACATGCATGTATCTTTGGCCAATGTCATTGGGAGTTACACACAGATAGGAAAATATAATCCTGAATCAACATTCTTTTAAGGCTCTGTAACTAGATTGTTCTGTGCTGAAGTAGATCCAGGGTAGTTTCATCACTAAAAGTAATATGACAAGAGCAGGTTTGCAGAAGTAGTTGAGGCCATTAGAAATCTCCAGTAAATCCAGAAGGGTAGAATTTTAAGTTCAGAAAGGGTAAATCTTGCCTAGGGTAACAGTGGATATGTAATAACAAAAATGAAGGAAGTGTTAGAGTTTCAGTGGAAACTTGTAATATAATACAATTAAAAACAGAATTGATTCTAAAGACATTGGGATTTTTTTGTTTTCGTTTATAAGAATTAGATTACTTGTTGAACTTTTGTATTTTTAATTTTTTTTATTTTTTTCTTTTTAGTATGAGCTCATGGCAGTGATAAATGTGGTTGAAAATAGATGGTCAGAGTGAAATATTTTTATATTCAGAAGAGCAAGCATCAGGGTGATGCTATTGAAAATATGTCATATGGATATACTCTGTTTGCTGTATGGCAGAGAAGATGGCTCTGTAATCTTCCAAAAGGGCTATTTATGTCATAAAGCAGGAATTATTTGATTTAGCTGTTGCCTTTTCCGTCCCCGAATTGTGCAATATTTTTTTTTGGACAGGGAAAAAACCCGTCTTCAGATAGTTGCAACTTTGTAAAATCACTTAAGTACTGTGGTTTGATACTGTTTACCTTTGTTCAGATTCCTAAATATTCCAGTTAAAATTGACTGTAAATATAGTGCTTGATTTATTCTCGTTCTTTCACATTGAAATGTTTTGAGAAGCTCTGTTACAAGTGGTAAAGCCATAAACATTCTCTAATTAAAAGCCTGAAGATTTAGTGAGAGTCACTATCTTTTTTTTTTTTTTTTTGTCTCCAGAGATCTGTTAGTTCATGAAAATATTTTGTGCTTTTTAATTTGTTATCTGGCAATGTTCTAAGGTGTTGTGAAATACTAAATATCAGTTTTCTTTTTTTGTTTATAGAAGTCTCAAAGTAGGAAAGAGGCTTAATATATTCACTAAAGCTTCTACAGAACCAGAGCACGCACTGAAAACAGGTTAGTGGAAATTCAGTAATGAAAAATGCAGTGAGGCTAAGTTCTGCATTTTTAGAATATCAAGAGATTTGTTTTTGTGAGGAGACATGACCTGCTCACTTTCTGCTTTCGGCCTGATAAAAGAAATGACTACTTTGATGTAACTCTGATTTTTACCAAGTGAAACTTCTGTGCAGTATAATGAAATGTTTTCTGTGCTGATCAGGGCACTCTGTTAGTGAGCTTGAAGACTTGAAGGGTATAACTGGCTTTTTGTCACAAAGGTCAGTCTTATTTCTGTGAGTCTAAAGCCAGCCTGGAGGATGGGTGTGTTGGCTCCAGCTTATTTGGTCAAGTTGCAAGGAAATGTGAGGCTGTGATCCCAAGGAAACAAGCATGCTCTGCAGGTGGCTAAGCATAAGCATGGTAGTAGGAAGCCAAGACTACACACTGGATTGCTGTGGGGCCTTCTTTTGTTTAGTGTTCCAGATGGAGCTGGAAAGATCCCATCGACAGCTGACAAATGACACCTTGCTTCACCTATTGTGAAGTTCTTCATATATGTTTAGAATCATGAGAAGTTTGGGTTGGAAGGGAACTTTAGAGGTTATCTGGTTCCAACCCCTCTGCAATGAACCTCTTCCACTAGATCGGGTTACTCAGAGTTCCACCCAACCTGACTTCGAATGTTTACAGAGATGGGGCATCTCCTACCCCTCTGGACAACCTGTTCCAGGGTGTTGCCACCCTCATTGGAAAAAATTGATTAATGGACCCTACAAAAAAAATCTGTCTTCATCTTTCTTGCAGGCTCTCCTTAAGTATTGAAAAGATTGAGTAAAGTCAGCCCAGAGCCTTCACTTCTCCAGGAAGCACAATCCCAGCTCTCTCAGCCTTTTTTCTTAGGAGGAGTGTTCCATCCCTCTGATCATCTTTATGGCCCTCCTCTGGACCTGCTCCAAGAGGCCCGTGTCCCTCCTGTGCTAAGAACTGGTTGCAGCATTCCAGGTGGGGTCTCATGAGAGCAAAGGGGAAGAATCTCCTCTCTCAACCTGTTGGCCACACTTCATTTTGTGATTCTGGTTGGCTTTCTGGGCTGTGAATGCACATTGCTGGTTCATGGCCAGTTTTTTATCCACCAGTATCACTAAATCCTTCTTGTCAGGGCTGCTCTCTGTCCATTCATCCCCCCTCCTGTGCAGATGGTGGAGGTTGCCCCAAGCCAGGTGCAGCACCTCGCACTTGGCCTTGTTGAACCTCATGAGGTTCCCATGAGTTTGTCCAGGTCCCTCTGGATGGCATCCTGTCCTTCAGTATGTCAACTGCACCACTCAGCTTGGTGTCACCTGCAAATGTGCTGGGGGTGCACTCAACCCCACTGTTTGTGGTGTTGACGGAGACACTGAACAATACTGGTCTCTGTATTCCTGAGCAACACTGCTTTGTCACTGATCTCCATCCAGATATTGAACTCTTGACCATTGGATACATGGTCTGGATAGAGCCCTGAATAGTCCATGGGCACTGGACCATCTGCATGTGACCACCCAGCCAATTCCGTATCCACTAAATATACATGCCAAAACTCTCGTGAGATAAAAGATACCAAAACTGAAGTCAAAACAGGTGTGACCCACCTTCATATTCACTGAATGGTACAGCTGTGCAGGAACAGTGTTAATGCTGCCTGACAGGGACGGCTTTCACTCGTGAAGACTTGGCTTTAATACAGGCTGGGTTTGGCCAAGAGTGTGTGAATATGGGCAAGTCCTGTAAAGAACTCTGTCCCTCACTTTTCTTTGTGAACAATGAGACTGCATTGTTAGCATTGATCTTTAATACCCTGGTTTCCTTCAGCTACTCTGAGGCCCTTTTAAGAAACAGACTTGATTCCAGTGTAGTTACTTAGAACTTTATGAAAAGCTAGCAGCAGTAGTAGTACTCCTCTCTAAAGTCTTAAAAAAGAGATGAGTATGATGAGTATTTGTTTCTGTTTCAAGAGTAGAACTGTAAGTTTTTGCCAGATTCTAGCTGAGTAGTTATCTTTTTTTTTTTGCACTTGAAATTGTAGGAACATATTAATTTGATTACTTAATTTTTTTTAGTAAAGTGTCACATAGTGCCATTTGCATATTTTCAAGCACCTGTGAACTTTCTGAATACAGCCATCTCTATGAAAGTTGTTTATTAGAATTTATTAGAGTTTATTAGGGGTTCAGTTTGCTGTTTTTTAAGACTGCCAATATCCTTAAAATTGGTCCATTTTACATGTAAAAAACATAATGAATGATGTAGTATTTGTTTTTAGCAGTCTTAACAAAAGTGGTGCTCAAGAAAATGGATTTTGAGTTGAATCAAATTTACTCAGGTGAAATGGTGAGAATATAAAATTACTTTTTCTCATAAACAGAATGCAGACACAATGGCTCGTAGTAATCACCCCAGGTAAAAGCTGAGATGCACTTTTTTTTTAAACACAAAATTGGAATGTATACAAATAGTTCAAGAGAGCAAGTGGACTTCATTGTATTTGTAATTAGATGTTAAGAAGTAAGCTTCTTTCAGCTTTTTGTGTAGTGTTTCCTTGTTTGATTCCAGGTAGCCTTGAGGAAATCTACAGTATATTCTAGACCAGGAAGCTGATTATTTGGCTTGCTGACTAAGCCTGATGACAAACATTTTTTTGGGGCGTTATCTCGGGAAATACTAGTGTGTTACTTGATACCTTGATTCATTTGTTTTCACTGTCTTGGTTCATATTAAAGGAGATAGTGGGTTAAAATTTGTTTATATGTAACAGAAAAGCAAGTTTTGTTTTAAGTATTGAGTATTGACTTTGGAAACTTGAATGTTAACTGGAAAGGAAATTGTCATCCTGAAAATACTCTTCATAACTGTTGATTTAAAATGCCAGTATTATTTCTGTTTCATGAGGTGAAATTATAATCTTTATCACCTCTACTGCAAGCTTGAAAAATGAGGTTGTGCTTTCCTCTGTTAAAGGATTTATTAGTTTCTTTATGATGTGGACAGTAATTTCATTCTGGTATGGTTTCTCATGTCTTTTTTCATTTTATTCCTGCTTCCAGCCCTCAAATCAAAGTAGTCAGCCTGGTAATATAGTTCTGGAAATTTCCCTCTTAAGGAATAATTTGAATAATTATATTCTGATTTAACACAAAAAAGTCCTGAAAACACTTTTCTTTATGTAAAAATACTGTTTGCTCTTTCACTGTGTTTTTTCTTAAAGGAGGGGAGAAGAGATTTTTTTTTTTTAATTAATTTGAGTTACAAGCCACTGAGCCAAAGATGAAATTATATATTGCCTCAAGTACTTACACTCAGGAGTAGTAAAATAATAGGTTATTGGCTATGATCCATTCCAAGTGGACTGAAATATTCGAGTTCACATGAAGATCTGTGTTCCAAGGAGCTTAGGATGAATTGATAACAGAGGGAGGCAGGAAAACAAAGGGGAATGGAGCTTAGGCCAGCCAGCTCGCTCAACAGCAGCACAGGGCACTCCCAGAGGTCCCTCCCTGTCCTGTGGTAACAGCTTGTTCCCTTCAGTTCAGCGAAGCGGTTCAGTCTGGGCTCGTGACCAGTTCTCCTGGGTGGAGGGACAGGAACTCCTTAAGAAGAGTAACTGCTGCAATATGAGTGCACTTTGATTTAAAAAACAAAAAAATACAAAAAAAAAGCATCAGGAAAGATACATCCCTAAAGGAACTGTTTAGCTTTATGAAAAGAATAAGAAATCATCAGTGCACCGGTCAAGTTCAGAATTTGTTGTATCCACATTTTTTGAAAGACAAAAATAGAAGAATGATTGTGGAAAAATTGAATTATTGCTTTATGTGAAAGATATAAAAATAAATATTACACTAGGAGTTCAGAATAGATTTTCATCAGAGATTTGAGAACTCAATGAGATTTCACATCAATAGAGAATTCTCATTTGAGAAAGTTGATGCTGGTATCTAAGGTAGAAAAATTTGCACAGCTGAGTATTAGTCACTGTAAAGATCGATGTTAAAGGACTTTGTCTTAGCTAGTGAGAAGTCTTTGGTTACTGACAGATCTTTCCAAAATTTCTTTTTTAGTATCTTCGCCAACAATTTGGGATCTGGAGTTTGCAAAGGAGGTTGCAGCAGTAACTGCACAACCTCCCCGAAACGGTTTTGAGGAGATGATCCAGTGGACAAAAGAAGGAATACTGTGGGAGTTCCCAATTGACAATGAAGTTGGTATGTGCACTGTGAGCCTTTATTATCTGTCTCCATTTATATTTTCTGAAAATTAGAGCATGTTTGACCTTTCACAATGTTTTAACACAGTGTTTCAGCTGTGAGTCATGCTTTTGATAGTAAACAAACATAACTTCCCGACTGTCCCGGATCAGAGAAGCTTCAGATGAACTCATTCTGGCACTCTTCAGGTGAAGTCTTGCAGGTGGTTTGGCTGATCTGAGGACTGGCTGCTGCCAGAAGGGGACGATTCCCTCCCTCCCTTCCCCCTCGACGCATTTAACACCAAAAGGCTGTTCAAGTCTCTTACATAATACTTTTTACTTGCAACTTCTTTAAATTAAGCTCCTAGCAGAAGTTGAGGAATCTTAAAACTGTTGTGCGTGTTTTGTAATGCTGATTCTGTTCTTTGGTGTGGCTCTTGGACCAAGTGTCTCGCCAGATCCCAACCAGCTATCTGCCAGTTCTATATCTGCGCAGGCCAAGTGTTAAACAGTTGTTTGCTCCCTTTGTTCTGTCTGTTTCATAAGAGTAAACAGTCACAATATTCACTCACCCTGGGCATCTATGTTAATTAGACATCTTTGTGCACAGTATTTTCTTTTATTACCATAAAAAAAGAAAAAAGCTCCGTGTGAAGTTATGCCAGCAGAGAGAGTGAATGTTAAGGAAGTGAAGAACAACTACACAAAGTGTGCAGTATAGGAAAGGGGACTTCATAACTTCAGGGAGAGCTTGGCTGTGGGTTTTGGGGTTTTTTTAATACTTTAAAGACATCAAACAGAACTGCTTTGTAATGATTCAGTCACTGAGAGCAAGACAGGTTAGTATCTGAAGCTGGGAGTCTTTGAAAATCTGTCCTATACTGAGTTGCAAATTGAATAATGTGCTTCATTGTTTCTTAATGTTTATTCTCATCCTATTTGGCAGTTGCTTCACAGAATTTAATCACTGCTCCCAGAATTGATCTGTTCCATCATGTAGAAATCCAAGTATACTCTAGTCATGTTTTTGCAAGCTTAAAACCACTGTGGCCAATGGGTTTTGTGTTGTTGTAATGTGGCTGGAACCCTGCTGTCTGGGGCCGTCAGTTGACAGTGTGTCTTTGGCGGGCAGTGGTTTCCCTGTTGTAGCCGTGCGGCTGGAACCGCGCTGTCTGGGATGGGGCGGGCAGCGGACAAAGAGTCTTTACATATAGTTAAAACGAGAATCTTTATTGATTCCTCCACAAAGACTAGTCATGTGGAAAATTCCGGTGGAGCCTTCCAAAACCTGTCAGCTCTCAGGCTGAAGTACCAAGTCAGTAAGTTCCGTCCGATCAGACTGCCAGCCACGGATTGCTAATCGCCTCAGGTGTGTCAGAGCACAGTTAAAAGCTTGAGAACCTTGCTCTGAGGATATCAACATGCTGTAATTTCAGTTTCTCTGAAAAAGAAAGATGCCACTCTCTGCTGTTAATTTTGCAGTTTTGTAACAGCCATTTCCCTCAATAGGAAGAGATTACTCCAGCTTGTTCTGTATCCAGAAATGTGTGATTATTCTTCTATGCCAGAACATGTGGCTTTAAAAATCTATGTGCAATTAGACTTTCTGTTGAGGAAGCACATATACTCAACTTTTAGTGTTATGAAAGGGTTAGGGTTAGGTTAAAAACTTTAAAGTTAAAACTGGCGAGGTCATGGTTTTTGAAATGATTTTGGTGTGAACATCTGAAGATCTGGCTAGACATACTGGCTTGCTGCAGTGGCCAGCAGCAGTCCCCCTTCCCCCCCTACCTTACTGCCCTGTTGTTTGCTCTTACCTGCATGCCCTTTCCCTTGTCCAATGAAGTTGAAGTCACTGTTAGGCAGAAAAATACCTTCTTTTCTCCTCTCCATCTCTCTAGCCTCTGATTAATTTTTACCAGTTTAGCAAATCATTAGTATAGCTTGCATAATGTTGTTCTCACTCCTCCTCCTTTCTGCTTGCATCTCCTGCCTCTAAGGAGCTTTAATGCTGCTCCATGATTGCCATGGCAAAAAGTTGGGAAAGACGTTTATTTATGCCTCATTTATTATTTCTATGTGTTTATGGCATGATGACTAAAAAGCTAAAAAGGACAGAGCAGATTATGGTGTGAATTTTCCTTAGCACCTCATTATGAGGAGCAAATGCTGTTGGTGGGCCAGAGATTGTTATTGCACAAGTGATAGGAAGGTCTCAGAAAATTAATTCCTCAGTTGCCTCTGACGGCTTCTGCAGGCAAAAGTTCACCAAGTCCTGTTCTAGTTGCTGGTTAGCTGAGCTGCTGTTCCCAGCAGAGAAGCATTGGATTGTCCTGCCAAGAGAGTTGGCAGAGTTACACAACCACTACACTGGGGTTTCTTTACGAACTCTGGGTCTTTTCTAGGGACCTACTGAAGAGCATGATTGATGTAATTCTAAAAATCCTAAAAGGATAGACTATTTTGTGTTGAAAGGGACCTTTAAAAGATCATTTAGTCCAAACCCTCTGCCATGGACAGGGATGTTTTTTTACTACATCTGAATACTCAGTCATCTTTATAGTGTTGTCAGCAGCACTCGTTGTAAGGGATAAACATCTGTGTTTGGATTGACATCTTTAAGACAAGGTTGGTCATGTCTTGGGAGGATTAGTATTTTAGCTAGAGAAATTCCCTAGGCTTTCTGTTTTGTAGCATGTGGGGGATTGGAAATAGGATATGAGAGTAGTTGTCTTCTTGTTTTGATGTTGAGAAAGAAAATTCTCTACTTTACACTTCTGCCATGCATGTTCTTTCAAATTACATTTCTGAGGACAGTGCAAGAGAGGCTGAGGGACAGGCTTGCAGCAGGAGTTAGGGCTTGCTAGGGGTGAGGGGAGTCATTATCTCATCTAATCTGTTCCCACCAGAGGCTTCAGCCTCTGATACTTTGTACAGTTGTGGTCTCCTTTTCTGTGATGCACACTTGACTTCTTTGAGGACTGAAATACGTGGTCTAACTGAAATATTTGGACTTAACACTTCATCCCCAGACCGTGTACAGTCTTTGACAAATGGGAGAGCAGGGAAATACTACTTTACATAATGTAATATTCTTTCTGACCTGTATTTTTATGAGACTCTGAATTGCTTATTTTGAGTTAAAGATGAAAATTGGTGGAATTATTAGACACAGTCTCTCCTGATACCCTGTATCTGTCCCAAGAAGAAGAGCATCCAGAAGACCAAATTTTACTGTCAGCATAATTTGGATTATTTCACTTGTGAGTTTGCTTGGTTTAGTTCCCTTGGATTTTTGAGACCACCGAAAGTATGGAAATCAGGAAAGGTTGCTAGTTTGAAAAAGCAACCTGTAGCATCCAGGTACAGTAAGATTCTACCTCCCCTTGGTGGGGGAAAGCCAGTATGAGTGGCATAGTGAAGGATCATCACTGCTTCTGCCCATGGACATTTTTTTCCAAGCACAGCAGAAACACAGTTTCTGAAGCTGACATTACCTGGTATTTTTTATTTTAACTTTCAACATCATGGAGCAAGGAGAGAGCTTCTGAGGAAGGAAACTTGCTTTATTTTTTCAAGAACAACGGAGTTAAATGTGGTGTGCAATTGTGGTATTGATGCACTCTCACGTTTCTAGGAAAAATACAGGTATTTCTCAGCTCCTTCAGAGTATCTGTATACTACAGATAATACAGTACTGTAAGTTTAAAGCAGGAAAAAAGTAATGCAAACTTAACAAATACAATTTGAGTGACTTCTCCATCCCAGAGGTGTGCATAATTTCTTCTGAAACTGTAAAAGCTCTACCAGAAAAGGAAGCCTAGAATTTATGTGGCTTAATTACCTCAATTTTAATACTCCTGATTTAATTTTATCAAATAATATAGAAAAGCATAACTGGCTAGCTTAGAAAAACACGCACACCATACTCGTGTATGGTATAGGCTTCTCATTTTTGTCATCTTGAAGTGGTGCAATATTTTTCTCTAATAACAGATTTTTATTTAAGGGTGCAAGCAAATTTGGATCAAATAAAAATTTTCATGAATATCTTAGCTGAAGAAAAATCTTTCATTACAAATCCCAGAATGCCTTTTGTTTTTTTCCCTTAAAATTAGGAACGGCAAAAGCAGCCTTTTTTCTCTAGGTAGGAATTTGTTCTGATTCTTCATCTCTACCATCATAGTATGAACAACAACAAAAAAAGTCCACAGGATGAAGAACAGAGGTTTACCCTATCTCAAATAATCCCTTGTCCCATGTCCTGTGGAGGCTTTTGAATGTATCATCTTTGGTGATGGCTATGACTTAAAAGCAGATGGTGAGATACACAACACTTTTACATCATCATACACTCACAGATTCAGAAATGTCAGAAAAACAAATTTCTGTGCCCATTTAGCAGTAGGATACATCCTATGCTTGGACTTGGAGTGGACATGTATTTGTTAGCAGTTCAGTATTTGATACTTCATGAAGTTGCCTTATTTGTTCAAGACTAGTTTGTATTCTCTAATCCTCTGCAGAATTTAGGCAATCAGTGTTCTCTTTAAAAATTTATGAAGAAAGTACCTGCAATCTAAAAGGTGGTACCAATGATGAATCGAAATTTTCAAGTACTGAACAAACCGGATTTTAGCAAGAAGATTGATTTATGGTTATAATTATTCCTCCTACTTCCACCCCAGCATCAGGCTTTTATCAAGATTTCAAGCCAGAAAGTTGATTTAAATATTACATATTCTTAGAAATGTGAGCAGAACCATTAATTCTACTAATTTAAGATTATTTTCCAACTATATTATTTTTTACTTTGTTACACTTGCTATTATATTATGATAACAACTTTGTCTTTTTTGCTTTGTCTTTCTGTTAGGGATGGAGGATGATGCTGAGTTTCATGAACATATCTTTCTGGAGAAACACCTCGAAGGCTTTCCCAAGGAAGGACCTATCCGCCACTTCATGGAACTAGTCATCTGTGGGCTCTCGAAAAACCCATATCTCAGTGTTAAGCAGAAGGTTGAACATATTGAATGGTTTCAGAAGTATTTTGAGGAAAAGAAGGAACTTCTTCAAGAGATTTGAGATTTGGGAAAGTGCTTACCCTTGAAATGAAGAATCGTTATGTCAAGGGGGACGATTTCTTATGGATGGAAATACATACATAGTGATCATGTGGCCTGAAAGTTGTATTTTAAACAATAAACTGATAGATCATCTTTTCTTATATGTGTGTCTGTGTGTGTAGATACTTTTGACAGCAAAAGAAAGAATTGAAAAGTATGGCTTTTGTAGAATGTGCGTTTAAACTTTAGTTTATTGGAACTATTGTCCTTTAAATTTGAAACTAGTCTTTCAACAACACAAAATCCTAGGTCTAATTTCCTACACTCTTCACAGTGAGATAGATTGGATCCTCTTTGCCATTCTGGAAAACTTGCAGTGCTTTCATTTTGGTAATTTGTGAACCACACTGGTGTTCAGATGGTATTAATCCTTTTTCTCCCCTTTCACTAACTATATTGGTTAATTTTAAAGTTTTTGGTAATGACAAAGTGATTTGAATGGTACAGTTTTTGGTTCATGTGCTCAGGGAAAGGCTGTTGTATTCCTGAGATGTGTGCACAGCATAACACTGGTGAGTCAGAAAATAACAAGGGAGTGATGTTCCTTAGGGTTTGCTGTTGGGACTGGTGCCACCAAACATGGCTTTAAACTGTAAGAGGGATGGTTGACATTAGATGTTAGGGAGAAATTCTTTGTCTTGAGAGTGGTGAGGCACTGGCACAGGTTTCCCACAGAAGCTGTGAGTGGCCCATCCCTGAAAGTGTTCAAGGCCTAGATTGAATGGGGTTTGGAGCAGCCTGGTCTGGTGAAAGATATCCCACCATGGAAGAGGGGTTGGGACTAGATAATCTCTAAGGTCCCCTCCAACCCAAACCATTCTATGATTCTAAAGTCTCTCCTGCCATCCATCCATGCATTCTGAAGCTTTTGACTAACTTCCCATCAGTATTGTTTAAAAAAGGGTCTGATTGCCAGGTAATGCATAAAGTGCTGTTTCACTAGAGTAAGCAGTTTTTTGGCTTGGAGCTGAGACCTTATCTCCTGCATCTGCAAGACTAGAAAGAGGACTCGGCATTCCTGACAAGGAGAGCTGTTGCCTACAAGTTACGTGATGGCACTGCTATTTTCTGTCTAGTCCTGATGCTGCTGAAGCAGCTTCATATTTTCTAGATAATCCTTTATTCCAATTAAATGTGTATGGTGCTTTGTATCTGCTGAGCTATTGCAATGTGTTTTAGTTCAATTATCTTTTGCCAAATTTTCATCCACAGCTACTCGCTTGTAATTCAGGATTCTGAATGACCATCTTGCTGCTTAAATTTACAGAGCTTTTCCAGCCCTGCATATTGTGTTCTTCCTTGTTCTCCCCAACCACATTAGCAGCTATTGGCCCTATAAATACACTCCTGTTTCTCACATTTCCTTGTAACTCAAGCAGGAAGGAGGATGAATATCGAATTCGTTATAGATTGAAGGTAAAACACTGGCTTTGTATGCAAATTGATTTTTAAAATGAGGGTTACACGAAGGAGACTGAGGAATTAGCCTTTTTCTATGAGTTGGAATATTGTTGCTGTATTCTGCTCATCTCCAGGATGTGGGTTTTCCCTTCTGGCAAAGGGGAAAGGCTTGGGCTGTGGAAAGCAAAAGCAACTTTTTGCCTTTCTGACTGTAAGAACAGCAAGAATCAAATTTTGCAGAAATTTTTAGAGGCTTTGGAATGGAGAGACTAAAACAAGGCACAGTGACTTTGAAGTCAGTGCAGGATTTTAGAAATAGCTCCTCTTGTGTATTTGCCTGTAGTCTGTGTTTTGATATGAAAGACAGGACGCTCACAAGCTCAGCTCTTGTTGGAAGAGGTTCAGGAGTGCATGAAAGTACTGAATTTCACTGCATTGGGAACGAGGTGAATGTTACCCTTTAAACACATTCATTAGGAGGTCAGTACTTGGGTAAGCTCTTAACAAGAGCTCTTGATGCTTAGGGTCTTTGGAAAGCTGTAGTAATTCCTACTTAGGTGCTTAAATATAGATTTGAGAGTTAATACTAAGCAACAGGATTTGAATAATCAGACCTAGCTGCACATATGTATGGATGATTCTGGGACTGCTCAAGGCAAATTACGAGAGCCCAAGTGGCAGGACTTTTATGTATGGGGAGTTTTGGGGTGTACACTGCTTGGTAGTAGGCTTTGCTACCTTTTAAGGCATTGCTTACAGATTAGTCACTTTCAAGCATGAAAATTCCCTCATTTCTTTTGAATCCCAAACGATAAAAGCTGTCTGTTGTTCAGAGTAGAGCCAATGCTGCAGCCAGTGATTCCCTCTGGACTCATTGGGTTTTTCTTAGGAAAAGGATGGTTGGTTTTCCTTCCCCTTGTAACTGCTTAGGTGGTGCTATGTGGTAACTCAATGTGCTCAGCAGCAGCATCTGTCCCAGGTAAAAGAGCATGTGTTACACGCTGACTCTTCCATTGCCATCTTTATGCATGAAGCTGAAGTCCTGTAATGTGTTGTGCCTCCCTGGGAAGGAAAGTTGTCTGGCTGTGGTGGGGGGCTGGAGTTGACACTGCCCTGAGAAGAGCGAGAAGATGGCACAGACTGGCCTGGAGCCATAATTGTGGGGAGCGTTGTCCATGTGCAATTTTGGGGTGACAGTTCTTCCTCTGAGGTGACTGGCTGCATAGCAGAAGGAGGATTTTTAGTTGAGTGGAGGTGGCTGAGTTACTGGGAAATTTCAGGCAGAGGCTTAAGAGGTTTGCTGCTGGAGACAGTGGTGGCTGTTGTTAGTGCTGTGAATGATGGTCATGGCTTCCCCAGCCGGGATGCTACACTGTGAAGTCTTTTCCTCCACTTCCTGTTATTTCCAAGTAGTCTTCATTTTCCACCTGTCTGGTGCTACCCCAGTAGTTCCAGAGGGTCTCTGATCATCTTGGAGGAGATGGAGCATTTTCTCCCTAGATGGTAGTACGAACTGGAGGAACAATTGTATGGTTGGATTGTGAGATTATCTGTGCTGTGTGTTAACCCCTGCTAAGCAGTTTCACTGCAGCATTACTGTGGGCTGTGCCAAACAGGAGGCTTGTACTCCTTGAGCACTTACTCAAGCACTGGAAGAAAGTTGGCAGTGGTTTAATTTAACCCTTTGGACTTGGCAAGAGGGGCTAAAATGAATAGGGTGCATATGGAGGAAAATCTTGCACAGATTCCCAAACTGCAGGCAGTTTTTGCTTAACCCATGTATTCTTAGATGAAGAGGAGCATCAAAGGTGTCCTTGAGTGCTACTTAGGTTCATTTTTTTTCAGCACTTACAGAGATAATAAAATTTCAGTGTGAAAATAAGTCCTCATCAGAAGCTTGTGCTTTGAGGAGCCTGAAGCAGCAGTTATGTAAGAATGGCCACAGTATTGCTTTCAGTGAGGATTTAAGAGTAAATAAAGTTGGGCTTGTGAGGATCACTTAAAATCACATTTGTGGACTGAGAACAATGACTTCTGAGGCTGCAGGATCAGGTTTTCACTGCAGACACAGCTGCAGCTCCTTTGGAAGGTCCAGCTGCCTTTGTGCTAGTGTCCATCAGGACATGGTGAGGGTGTAAATCCCACCCTACACAGTGGCTGTGGCATTTCGGTCTCAGGATCTCCACAAGATGTCAGTGTAGATTTATTGGATTAGATATAAAAATCCTTGTGCTGTTCCCCCCAACAGATTAAAGCAAAAACTGTTCTAAAGCTGCACAATAGGTTTGATTGTGCTCTGGAACATGTTGCCTGTGGAAGATCGAAGTGGCGAGCGCTGGCGTCGAGGGAGGAGGGTGAGCGTCACCCTAAAATGGGAGCAGAGCTCTTGGATGAAACTGTCAGTGCCTTGCTCATATCAGGGTGCCTTTATTCCCTTGGGGACAAGCTGCAGATGCACTCGTGCAATAAAATGCTGTATATTTTACTCAAAGAGCTGGAAGCCTGAATAAAAACTAGAAGGGCCATCCTGGGTGGCAGGAAGGATGTGAGGATGGTGTGATCAAGTCATGTACTGGAGAAGTGTAACTGCTGGCTGTGTGGTATCCAAAGCTTACCTGGTTTCTTTCTGTATGAAGAGTGGACTTGCAGTGTCCAATGAACTGTGATCTTGCAAAGAGACCGGGACACAGCATCCAGCCGAAGGTTGTTCCCCTTGACCTTTTATCTCTTCTGCATGGCGGTCCCAGGCACAGGGGTGTTTGGGAGCTAGCCAGCTCTCCTCTCTGCTCCCTTCCATTGGTATTCCAATGGTGTTCCATTCCCATTTTCCCAATGAAAGCTGAAGGCAGTGCAGCCCCGCCGCCCCTCCCGGCAGCCGGGGCTGGGGAGCTCCGGGCGATGATTCCGCCAGCGAGCGAGCCAAGGGGGACGGGGTTTGTCAGCAGGGCCGAAACAGCCCCGTTTCAGAGTTCACTGGGGAAGGGGGGAGCCAGGGAGGGAGACCTGTGTGGAGCTCAGACCCCTTCCCAGGCCGCCTCGTAGCCTGGAGGTGGGAAAGCTCATCCTCCATGCCGGCAAGCGTTCGCCTCACCTAAATTTGGGGGGATGCCAGCCGCTCCTAGTATTTGCACTGCGCAGATCAGGTAGGGATGGGGATGCAAACTCCCTCTTTCCTTGGTGTGTCCTCTCAGCTTACCCTGGGGACAGCTGAGATGACTTTCTGGGGTCAGGGGATTCCCGAGGAGAGACGCTTGTGGTTTCTTGCCCTCTATGCTACAGCAGCTGTGGGGCTCCACTTGACCCTTGGCCTCCCTGGAGAATTATTCTCATTCTCTTGATGGCTAAGGAATTTTGCCTGTTCAAGGGCTGGACTCTGCCCGCTGCTTGCTGGGATGGGCTCCTGGGCTGCCCAGGATCTCTGCAAAGCTGGGCAGTTTTCAAAGATGGGATAATCTTATCTTCTGAGATAATTTTTAAAATAGAACGGATCCTGTTGCTCAGCACTATAGCAGCCACATTGGGCAAGGGAAAAGGTGTGAACAAAACAACCACTGAGATTTAAGGGCAAGGCCGTGATCTTTTTCCTCAGGCTGGTGATTACCCCCTGAAATCAATGGGATTGCTGAAGAAAGTTGCCATTTTAAACCTGACAGGGCTTTACTCTGAACTCCCCCTAAACCTATCTGGTGAGGAGATATTA